ATTGGTCAATATACAGATCTAAATCGCCGTATTGAACATTTTTACTGAATATGAGGATGTTCTGACCGAAGGTAGACGCAGCGACAACAGAGAACGGCTGGAACCCTCTGCATCTGGCTTGTTTCGGTGGTCACATAACTGTCGTGGGTCTGCTGTTGAGCAGATCGGCGGAATTGTTGCATAGCTCGGATCGTTACGGCAAGACCGGGTTGCACATCGCGGCAACTCACGGACATTATCAGATGGTGGAGGTTCTTTTGGGTCAGGGAGCGGAAATAAACGCGACTGATAAAAACGGTTGGACACCGCTGCATTGTGCGGCACGCGCCGGCCATCTAGACGTCGTGAAGCTGCTTGTGGAAAGTGGTGGGTCTCCGAAAACCGAGACGAATCTCGGCTGCGCACCGATCTGGTTCGCCGCTTCCGAGGGTCACAACGATGTGCTGAAATACCTTATGGAGAAGGAGCACGATACGTATGCTCTGATGGATGATAGGAGGGTAAGATATCCGCTCTGATAAGAGGAACAGCGAAAACTCTCTGAAGTAATAAAATTTCCTAGAATGTGAAAACTGCTCAAATGTTAAATTTTTTAACTACAAATTTCTAAATTATTTTTTTATTTCATACGTATGAAAAAGTTATAGAAAAATTACAAAAAAAATAATTGTTCATGAAATTATTTATCATCTAATAAAATCACTTGTTTTTTCAAAACTTTTTATCTTTGGGGTATGGATGTCTATTTATAAAATATTTTCTGCGATTTAAAAATATTCTTCATGTTTTAAATATATATATGTGTGTGTACATATATATATATTATTATGAAAAATCTATAAAAAGTTTATTAATTCAATTTCTTTGCATTTTGCAAAATGATTTTATAATCATTTAAAACTAAGTTAAATTTTTTTCGAAATTCTCATATATTATACAGTTGTATTTTGTGAGATTAAAAGACATACAACATTTAGAAACTTTATACATTTCGAAACCGAAATAAGGAATTTGCTCTTTAATGTTAGGTACGCACGCAAAGAGAATTAAGTCGGTTTCGTAGACGAAAATTTATTGATAATGCATGTGTAGTTCAAATAATTTTAAAACGAGACGAGAAATACTGTCGCATAAAGTTCCGCAGTTACATTGCGAAAAGCTTTACCTTAGTGCAATTATTTACAAGTAGGCTTCACAATGACTAATCAGAATATGGATTTAGTGGCTCAAGTCACTACATTTACAAAACACGAGAATATTTATATTTATCATGAAAATTTAAAGTATCATTAGTCTTAAAAATTTAATCGTAATATAATTTTGAAGTCTTTAAGCGTAACGATAACTTTATTTAAAAAAGCATAAAATTTTTAATAATAATCTACATAAATTTATGTGCATCATAAAATTATCTGTCTCAGATTTAGCGCAGATAAATAATAGTCACAACAATTATCCAGAACACAGAATTGAAGGAACTTACAATTTTCTCGAGTTCACTTTCTTATTAACTTTCAAACAAACTATTATACGTTTACAGTTTGTTTACAACATGATGGTCTGCAGCAAAAGCCATAACAACAAACCGATCGAAGAATTCGTTCTGGTGTCACCCGCGCCAGTCGACACTGCGGCGAAATTATCCAACATCTACATGAAGCTTTCTGAAAAAGAAAAAGAGCGTGCTAAGGATTTAATTGCGGCCGGGAAACAGTGCGAAGCAATGGCCACCGAATTGCTGGCTCTAGCGGCGGGCGCCGACTCGGCCGGCAGGATCTTGACGTCGATGGATCGCAGGAATGTCGAGTTCCTGGACGTGCTGATTGAGAACGAACAGAAAGAGGTGATCGCGCACACCGTGGTGCAGCGCTATCTCCAAGAGCTGTGGCAAGGTAGCCTAAATTGGAACGCGTTCAGGACGATCCTGCTGTTCATCGCCTTCATCGTGTGCCCGCCGGTCTGGGTGGTGTTCGCCCTACCGCTCGGCCACAAGTACAATAATGTACCCATCATCAAATTCATGTCGTATCTCACGTCGCACATCTACCTGATGATCTTCCTGTTGCTGGTTGGCATCACACCGATCTATCCAGTGGTGAGGGCCAACCTAATACCGTATTGGTACGAGTGGTGTCTGCTGGTGATGCTATCAGGACTATTGCTGTTCGAACTGACGAATCCCAGTGACAAAAGCGGCCTCGGCTGGATCAAGCTAGCGGTGCTGCTCTTCGGCATATTCGGCGTTGCGTTTCACCTGATGGGATTCGTAATCGTCGAAAGAGGATACTGGCCGACTCTCCTCTACCTGAGAAACCAGCTTTTTGCCCTCAGTTTCCTTTTAGCTTGCGTGCAGATCCTGGACTTCCTATCGTTTCACCATCTGTTCGGGCCGTGGGCCATCATCATCGGTAATCTTATGAAGGATCTCGCGAGGTTTCTCGCGGTGCTGGCGATCTTCGTTTTCGGCTTCTCCATGCATTTCGTCGCTCTTAATCAGGCGTTCAAGAATCAAACGCCGGCAGAGGCGCGCCAAGAAGATAGAAAACATAAGCCGGCATTCTCCGACGGTAAGTTCGAAATACGTCACTCTCATTTCTTCAGTCTTCTCGTCTTTTCCTTCTTCAGTCTTCTTCCCTCCCCTTCTTCGCTCTCTTTCTATCTATAAGGTGGCGCGCGAAATGTAATACCATTTAATTATTCAATTTTCAATGCTTTGATAATCAATTTTATAATCAGCTCTATACCACAGTTTTATTAACAATAAATATACGATTAGTGTTATGCCCAACATCCGTGCTGTTCCGTCTCCGAAAGAGTCGAGTCGAGCGAAGCGAGGAGCGTGTCGTCAGGACGATGACGAAGAGAGGGAGAATAACGGTTTGAGTCGGACGATTTTGACGGACGGTCTGTCACAATGCTGGTTGTTCTGTATTCCTCGTTCGTGTGCTACAATAAAGTGCCTTGTTTGTTTGTACATTGTACGTGTGTCCCTTCATTTCCGCGGACCGGGAGTGCGCGTACACGGGCTTGCGATTCAGCCGCTCGAGTGTAACAATGGACGCGTTCAAGTTGACAAAGCGACTAGCCTGCTTGCCGAGCAAATGAACACAATTAGTTGTTACTTATAGATCCAACCAATCATATTCAATCGCTCGGTAAGCATGCCTAGCCGCTTTGTCGTCTTGAACTCGCCCAATATAAACCAAATATGTGGTATGACATTTTGTGCGCCACCCCCCCGTATCTTTCTCTCTGTCTCTCTTTTTCTCTTATTATGTACCTTGACGCCAATCCAGAGCTAGTGGCGCAGTGTTAATTGATTTTTTTACAGTTCCGTCTATAGGATATATATATACATATTCGCGCACACGTACTGTAGATACGACATGTACCGTAGATACGTTATGTAGATACCTACGTAGGGCTAGATCTTAGATTGGCAATCGCTTCGACGCGCGATACTGGTTTCCATTAACAGGACGTAGACAGTGCTTCCGCCCACGCAGGTGCTAATTCGCGTGGGTACCGAGATAACGGTGCAATATTTCCACTCCTGCGTTAGTTTACGTCAGGAGTTACAGAACTACGTGACTAGCAATTTCGATGAATTTAGATTTCAATATATATTATATATACGGAATCGGAAATTAAACTCATCGAAATTGTACCGACTGTGTACTCGGCGCGTAATTTATATGCAGAAGCAATTAAACGTTTACCCTCTTTCGCGCGTTTCCCATCCCTCAACTTGAAAGATTTATTCCTATTTTGAAAATCATCGACTCGTTGCGGTCAAGTTTGCGCGTTTAGATTTCTCAATTGTCATTTATCAAAATCCCAAAGTAGGTCTACTTCATGTCGATCATACTCAGAGACATGCGGAGCGATACAGAATCATAATCGACTGAATTACAATGATAGATTTGTTGGCCAATAATACGGAATGGATGATGGAGACGCCACCAACGGCGCCTCCTCGTCGCTACGGCCGCTACAAGAAAAAGAATGAGTGCTGTGACGATAACAGCAGAGATTGTAAGTTTTCAGCTGGTTGAGAACGATTAAATCAGAAGCAACCCGAGCGCGGAAAGCAAATCGGAACAAAAATCGCGCACGCGAAACTGAATGCAGGACACGATCCATCTCGGTGTCGTCTCGTCTGCATCGTGCATTTGGCCAGTGTGTGTTGTCTGCTGAGACTGCTGCCTGATATGATGAAGCGAAAAAAAAAGAAAACACATAAACGAGAGAATCGGAATAAAAATACACGCAAAATCGAATGTTCTTGTCACGTTGTATGCTGTGATTCGGAGGCAACGGTGAAAAAATTAAAGCGAAAACGATCGATGGAGAATTTGCTGAGAACAATATCTCCCTTGTATGCAAACATTACTGTCGTTTAAAGCACTCCAGTGCGGCAACCACTTATATTAGTTATTGCCATGGGCGTACGCAAGAGAGGGCAGGGGAGCGTTTGCCTCCTCCTTAAATTTTTGGAAGAATCAATTACGAAAATAATTTTTACAAAAAGAAAGGAGAAGTATTAAAAAAGTATTTAAAAAAGTTCACTGAAGATTCTCGAAAACTGGCTTTATAAGTGTTTTGATAAATTTTGTGTGAAAATAAATTTTTTGCTACCCCTGACTGAAATCCTGGATACGCCCATGATTATTGTTGTGTAATTGCAAAATTTAAAAAAACCTCCCTCTTATACTCCTATATTCGCTTCAGATCCATTCGCGGATTGGAGAGAAGCGTCCGTATCGCAGCGTACCGAACAAATATTTATAAAATTGATCTGAAAGCTCGAGAACGACGTTCCATGCAATTTGATTAGCTGTCGATTAGAGTTACTGCCGGAGCATATGTGCTCGTGTTTCTTTCACAGCCTCTGCCCGTGTGCATCCCCGTGTCTCGCCTGTACGTATATGTCCTGTATATGTATTATACATACATGAACGCACACACACACATATATGTGTATGTACGTGCGTGTTTTCTCTGTACCTACATCATATATCTGTAATTATTGTAAGTTTGCTAGAATCGTGTTTATGCTAATGGACGATGTTGTATGCAATTCATGATGTGCATCCATCGCACGATCGTTTTTTTCATGTGACTCGATCGATTTGACGGAACGTTCCACATCCCTCAAAGAATCGTTCCCTCCGCGCGTTTCCTCCTTTTTTCTTTTCTTTTTTTTTCTTCTTATCTCAGCAGACCGTGACTAGTACGAGAAAGGATCTTTCCATCCTCTCCCTCCGTATCTTTGCATGCAAATAAATTTTGCGCGACGTGTCGCGTCCGCCTTTGGAGTCGTGCAAGCCAGACAAGCAAGGAGGAGGGTGCGCATTTTCGAGCTGCATGTCGCATCCTTTTTATCCACTGCAAACGTATCGCGCGATACGTTTCAAAATCTCCACCCCACGCCCTCCTCTCTTTCTCTTTTACTCTCATTCAGCATGGAACGCACGAGGAATGACCTTCCCCCCCATTGTTCGATCACTTAGTATCCTCGAGAAACGGCGCACCGGTGTCGAGATGCATCCCCCGATTAGCGAGATGCATCGCTTGGACTCGTCGCGCGTCCTAGAAACGCGCCGGTCCGATGATAGAATCTCATCGTCACGAGTATCTTTTAGCGCGGGACGACAAAGAGAAAAAAAAAGAAAGGAAAAAAAAAGAAAAAAAAGGGAATCGCAATTACATCTGAATCAGATGTAAATGCAAGACGAATTAGAGCGACGAGGCTGAAAAGGCGAGTGACAGTACGTACTCGACGATGAACGCAGCCTGCAATAAGATATTCATGGCATGCATCAGGCGTTAGTCGCAGCCGCAGCTGCAGAGCATGGCCAGAGTCTATATAAAAAATATGCATGAGCATGTTCGTTCCGTTTGTTCGTTCGCTCGCTCGCTCGCTCGATCGTTATGTACGTTATGGAATACTCACATGCGCATTTGTAATACTAAATAGCGAGTATCCACCAGTAGTAGCCTGTAATGGCACGAAGCAATGAGCTATAAAAAAAAGAGAACGAAAAAGCCTTTAGAGCCACCAAGAAACGTCTTGTGTGTGTGTGTGTATGTGCCTCGTAATTCCAGTAAAGATGAATCCGGTACTCGCCTTCGAGTATCTGTTCTTCGCCGTCTTCGGCCAAACGACCCACGGCGAGCTGAAGGTCCAGACCGATCAGCCGCAGTGGACCGAGGTCCTCTTCAAGTTGACCTTCGGAGTGTACATGTTGGTCTCGGTAGTGGTGTTGATTAATCTGCTGATCGCCATGATGAGCGACACTTATCAACGGATACAGGCGCAGTCGGACATTGAGTGGAAATACGGACTCAGTAAACTGATCCGAAACATGCACAGGTAAGCCTGCGACCTTTTACGACTCCGAATGTACGTGCGATAATAATCCGCTATATGATAAACCGCTAGATAACCAACGCGGTTTAACCGAAATAGCATGCTCGATTATCTTTTTCCACGTTTGGTCGGAACATCAATGTTATAAATAGAGTTATATAATATTACTTTGAAGCGACGCGTTCTCGCGTTTACAAGACGAATCGTTGCAGTGCCGTTCGCTTTTACATGCTTTTACGTACAGCCTGCGTATATCGCGGTCTCAACCGGTCTCTTAAGTAACTCGCTGTTAAGCTATATCGGGGCGTTAACGGAGCATTCCGTGTTGGAAACGCGATTGCGTGTTACAGAACTACCACAGCTCCGTCCCCGCTAAACTTGCTCACCACCTGGACCGTGTACTTCATCAAGTTGTGTAAGCAGCGCACCGCTAAGCGCAAGCGACCCTCGTTGGTGCACATGATGGGATTCGGACGCGCCAGCCGTTTATCGCCCAGGTCCAAGATGGGCGCAAAATGGTTGGCCAAGGTTAAAAAAGGTCAGGTCCGTCCAAAGGATAGCGTGACCCTTTCCGTGGTGCATCTCAGCCCGCTGGGCAGTCAGCTGTCTTTCAATAGCGCGACCAGAATAGAGAACGTAGTGGATTGGGACTCGATCAGGAAGAAGTATCTCGTTCTAACTGGGAACGAGCCTGAGAAGGAGGAGGAGAAGGAAGGGAAGAGCAACGAGGATGAGAACGAAGATGAGAGCGGGCCGACGGCATCCAACGCTTCGACGATACCAGCGACAGTCTCGAATCCGCCCACATAAAAGATTTGCCGTCGCCCTTTGCTATTTTTCGACCAAATTGCCGATTACGAATTCGCGCGAAAAACGAGCAAACGAGCGATTAAGATACCGTCGACCTACCATCGTACTACCGTGCTCAGTATTACCTACTAGACAGACTTAGCGACAGATTAAATGCGCTAAAGATACATTCACCCTTCACAAACAATATTTAAATCATAAACCGCTACCGCAGACACAGACTTTCAGACGATCGAGCGAGACCATCATAGAGGATCCCCGGGCGATCCTCAGTGCACCGGCGATCGGCCGAGCATTTAATCATCTAAGTAAGTACGCGTCTCTCGACGTATGATACGTGAATCTCGTAGGAACGCATATAATTGATGTTGTTTGTGAGATATATGAGAATGGGCCAATTCCGCCGAACACATTATACCTTCTCCGTCACATGGCACGACCGGATGATGCCTGCAAATGCCGAATTGTCACGAATCCCCGTCACATCCGCTCGCTCTCGATGTTTCATTGAATGTTGGATCATTCATCCGCGGCACCATAACGCGTTATCATCCGTAGGATGCAGATTGTACCTCTCGATTGATTTATACGACGATATTTTCCATTAGAGAGCCGTTGCTGTAAACATTAATTAAAGTTAAATGGGATGGTTTGAGTGTGAATTTATGAATGTTTTTATAGAAAGACAAAATAAGACATCTTAAGGCTAAGTCTCAGCTATCAACTTTAACTAACATTTACATGGACGGTTCATAATGAAAATATTCCTGATATTGCAAATGTCTAAAGGCACATCTATCTAAAAGTCTTCATTAAATCCAAGATTGCATGCATGTCTAAAAGACTTTATAAAGACATCATAAAGATGTCTGAAAGATATCTAAAAAAACGTAAAGAGGTTTTCTAGACAATGCTTGCTGTCTGGGGTGTCCTTTAAATATTAGCAATATTCGGGGATAATTCCCTTATGGAAAAATAATATTGGACTCGCGAAAAAACGATTGGAAATAATTGAAAAACCATAATAGAATATTATACTATACATACACTCGTTTCAATATTTTTTTCATAATCTAATAGTATTTTTCTACAAGTATTGCACGTAACATACATCGCAAGTCTCCTCTAGTTCCTTTTATGTTTCATGCGCTTAAAATTAGAAATCCGTTAGACAAAAGGGCGTTTTTCTTAGGCGCTTTGGACTTTTTCTAACGACAGGCAAAATTGAGAAGTTCGTACGAGTCGCAGCATATGTATATCCTGTATGGCTTGAAATCGATCCTCTTTGCGACGTTTGGTAGTGGCAACGTTTAGCATGTTCTGCGCAGTGGCAGAGAATTTTTGCATACGTCCACGCGCATATATACGAAGCACCTTACGAGACACGTTATTTAACGCGTATTTACAGTCAAGATGAATCCCATACACGCGGTCGAGTTGTTGTTCTTCGCCATCTTCGGTCAGACGACACACGAACAATTCAAGACAGAAAGGATCATACAGCCTGAATGGACGACCGTCCTTTTCAAGCTCACCTTCGGCATTTACATGTTGGTGTCGGTGGTGGTGCTTATTAATCTCCTGATCGCTATGATGAGTGATACCTATCAGCGGATACAAGCACAGTCGGACATCGAGTGGAAATATGGATTGAGCAAGCTCGTTCGAAATATGCATAGGTAATAAAAAACGTACCGAAGAAAAAGTTACACGGAAAGAATGGCTTCGCTGAAATACCTAAAAATTTAACTAGATACAGATCTGAAAATAATTTTGTTGGATGTTCCAAATAATTATATATATAAATATTAAATAATATATATACAGGATAAATATAAAATAATTTAATGTACATAAAATGTGTAAGATGCTTAAACTACTGGTTGCTAGAATGTCAAAACTTTTTGCAGCATTGCTCGTTATTCATTATGCCTGAGATTCCTACATAATTATTTTGATGGTCCAACAAAATTGTTCTCCGATCTATATCTAGTTAAATTTCTAGATACTTCAGCAAAATTGTTATATCTTCGTGTAGTAAAAAAAAAAGAAGAAATGGTAGGTTGTTGCATGTCGCATGAAAGCACCATTTATCGTGTCATTTATCGCACTAATAGATCGAATTTTTAATACACGACAGGACCACTACGGCACCATCTCCGCTGAATCTCCTATCCACGTGGATCACATATTTCGTCAAACTTTGCAAGAAACGCCTGACCAAAAAGAAAGAACGACCCTCTCTAATGCACCTGATGGGTGCCACCCGCATGTCCCCTCGCACCAGGATGGGAGCCAAATGGCTGTCCAAGATAAAGAAGACCTCACAGGTGGGACACAAGGAGAGCGTCGCTTTATCAGTGGCTCACTTGAGTCCTCTCGGCAGTCAATTGTCCTTCCGCAATACCGTCAAGATCAACAACGTGGTCGACTGGGAAGTCGTCAGGCGCAAATACAGAGACCTTTACGGCAAGAAGATCGAAGAGAAGCCGGTCGAAAAGAGCAAGGAGTCGACAGAGAATCCATTGGCGGCTTTAGAAGGCTCGTCGGATGCTGCCGAAAAATCAAGGCTTGGACTTGGAGTTTGAACGAGGAAATGTTATTGAAGACAACCATCGACAATACATTTTGTAACTCCCACGGAAGAAAGAGAAAGAGAGAAAGAAAGAGAGATCAAAGCTCTTCCTATTTTCGCAGATTCGCCGCATTAATGCGCTCGGTTGCGTTTATTTGTACATACATCGCCGCGAGGCGTTTACGGAGGACCTTGTCAGTATTTTAAAAATAAATGTCTAAGCTCGGACTTTGTATCGCCTGTACAGTTATTGTTAGTTAGCAAACCTGTGCTCCTTGTGATCCATAGTCTAATTGATTACTATATAACACGTTTTAGAGACTACCATGGGGAATACCCGTATGCATAGAGATCGTTCCACGTCACGTTTGACGGTTAGTCATCAATCATTATTTAATTATCAAATTCTCTTTTCCACCTAGAATGTTTTATTAATCATATATATGTATGATATATACCTACATTATGTCAATAGAGCGCAATTGCGTAACGGCTCTGTTGCAACGATGCACGCACCGATCATTATGCCTGCATCATGTTGCCCATGATATTTTCGTGTAATATATCGGCGCGCTCGATACACATATTTGTAGAATGTGTATCTACGTAATATCGCAATATTAGAATTGCCTTCGAAGCTCACATCTCATTATACATGTTATATTTATACACAAATTTATACACTCTGGTGTGTAGCATGTACATTCATTGATACGTCAATCGAAGTTAAACGCGTCTACAGGATTCACCTCTCGATCATCCGCACGTTGTAAAGTTCGACTGGCATGTACTATAAATGCTCACTCTGTAAAAAGAAATAGCTAAATTAAAGCGAATTCGACAAAAGAGATTTTTCGCTGTATAACGAATGCTTAATCTTTTAAATCGGAATTTGGTTTAGAATCCACTTCTATCTCTTTCCGCTGAATACAAACTTATAATATTACATCAAAATTATAATTTCTTGCTCAACAATGTAACTGTTATGTATAACATGTGTTGTATTATATTTATACATGTGTTGTATTATATTTATACATGTTGTTGAATGGAAAGCTAAAATATTGATGTACTGATTCTGCTAGTTTGTGTTCTACGGATTTTTATTCACGATGTGTAAATATTGCACAGACAATTTTTAAATTAAAACGTAAAATTAAGAAATAATCTTATATATTGTATGGAATTAATTTCTTTTTAATTTCCGATTATTATACCATAACTATAAAATACGTAAATACTGATATAAAGAGAGAAATTCAATTCTAAAACCCATTCTTGATTTCGTAGATTAGGAATTCATAATTTTACAGAAAATAAGTTTCTATCAATCCCTTTTAATTTTTCTATTTTTTACAGAATGCATATAAAAGCGAATCGAAATGCAATTCTCACATTGCAAGCCACATTCATCGCATTCATCTTGCATTTGTAAATGCGTTTAGAAAGTGTTTTTCATCAATACATTAAATATGGATATTCATCTCTTTACAATTTATTATTCAGTGTTTGCTCATCGAAATCTTTTGAAATGTGCTGTTCATTCCATCGCATGTTTTAGGTTTTACAAAGCTCGTTAACTTTTCTTCTGATTAATTGTCAATTTTTGAACGAAGATTGGGGTAGTTGATCATCGTCAGCATGAACTTCTACAATTCTTAATAGTCCAAGAACTGTAAATATGATTTTTTTCTGCTTGTAATCAGAATAACAATAAATAGAATAACATTTTGTATCAGCAGTGGTGTAGTTCGAAATTTGCAATTATCTAACTGCAATGACTAAAATATTAGATAGACTACTAATTACACTCTGCCACAATTATACTACACCGCTGTATTAGCGTAAGAATATACAACTAATTCAACCGCTATGATTTTTAATAAAATATAGTTGGATACAACAATATTTGGATTTACGTAACAATGGTGGTGTAATATTACAATCGCTCATTGAGCGACTAAGTAGCCACAGAATGTGTCATTGGTTCTTATCTTTAGATGTAATCACATTAAATTGCTACTTAGCTACTTATTGAGCGATTATAATACTGAATACAACCTTTGAAATTCTTTTAACTTACTATTCTTTTTCTCTGTTTGTACAGTAAATGTTAATCTGATCAAAATCACGGAGAATCTTTTCTTCGCCATTTTCGGCCAAAAAGATACCGAGGCCTTTTCATTAAGCAAGAAGCAGCCACAGTGGACGATTTATTTTTTCAAGGTGATTTTTTTAGTAAATAATATGATTATCTATATAAGTTATTTTTTATATGTTAGAATTTAATAAATATTTTTTGTTTCAAGGTATCATTCTCATTATACATGCTCGTCAGTGTCATAGTATTGATTAATCTATTAATTGCTATGATGAGCGACACATATCACAATATTCAATCACAGAGTGATATCGAATGGAAATACGGTCTCAGCAAACTAGTTCGCAAGATGCAAAAGTAAGTAACATGGTTGAAAAAAATAGTAAATATTCTTTGCAAACACAAAAGTATTTAATCTTTGATTTTTATACCTTCAACACAGTAAATGAATTTTGCAACGCTTTTATTAAATTAAGGTAAACTATTGATAAGAAATAAATCAAGATAAACTATTCATGATATTTCGAATTGTATCACTTTTGATAAATTATTATGAATTTGTTGTAATTTTGTAGGATATCAAAATCGTTACAATTCAAAAAGGATAGTCTTTTTTTAAGAATTGTGAAACGAAAATAACAAAAATGACATTTGATCATTTCTAAGAATATATTCTTTTTGCCAATATTATTTACTTAGTCTATAATTTTCTATTTAAAGTTGAAAAATAATTCTTTTCTAAAAAAAAAACATAATTTTTAGTTATGTCACTTTTGAAATAAGGGAATGATATAATTTTCTCATCAAACTTTCGTATAAAATTTAAAACGCGCAATTTCTTATGCGCTTTCATTTAAATTTGCAAATTTTTACTATAATGTTATTCTGATTCTTATTTTTAGAGCAAAGACAGCCCCATCCCCGTTAAATCTCGTTACCACATGGGCAGAATATCTTAAGAACGCTTGTATGAAGGAACGTATTGCAAGGCAGAAAATCGGCAGATCGCGTGGATACATGGAACCCGATACGCAAAAGACTTTTTCAAAATTTTCTACTGTACGTAAATATTATGTTCCTGCTTATTAAATATAAAAATATTACGCTTTACTAGAGAAATTTATAATATTGCCATATGATCTAACAAGGAAGGTCTTAAGGATCTCTCTTCTATTTTGATAAGTTTTGGAATGTTATAATATAGATTAAAATAGCAGACACATTTTTTAAAATAAGTTTTCTTACATAAGAAAACTTATTTTTGTTAAAGAAAATAAAATTGAAAAAAAAAACGATTTTTATCTTTCTATATCATAGAAATAATAAGAAGTACATAAAAATATCTTAAAAAAAACTTTTTGGTGAAAGTAACTGATTTTTAACGCAGTATTCAAATTTTCCGAAAATGTTTTTTTTTCTTTCAACTTCTACATCCATTATTTTTGAGAATTTTGCAGAATCGTTTTTATAATTAAATTAAAGTTTCTTTACAAATACATTTAACTATATATATATATATATATATAATACAAAATTATTTTATGAAAATACATTTTGAAAAATGAGCCATAAATAAAAAAGGAAGGCCAAAGATTGCGAGGCGTTTTATTAAGTAATTTTAGAAGATCTTACCTTTTCTTATTAGTTGAATTTCCCGTAATCTTCTTTTTCTTTTTTGTTTTAGAATACTAGAATGCTTCCACTACCGCGAGCAGCGAAGGAACGAATTAATTTCTCGTTACTTCGATCAAGCACAACTATCAGTCAAACTTCTCTAAATGATATTCCGAAGATACAAAATATCGTTGATTGGGATATAATCCGTCGAAAGTATCGTATGCGATTCGGAGACGAAATCGAGAAACCGTCTAGTGGAGAGGTGACGCTTGCTGAAATGGCTTAAACAATAAAATTGACGCGTGCAACATATATTCCATTATTACATGCAAGTTTCCATATGCGTAATTTTTTTTATTATTTTATATCGGCCTATTTTATATCGTAAAGTATTTAAGATAGAAATATATATATATATAAGTAAAAGTACTTTCTACGTTTGTACGTTTTCTTGCAATATCGCTAATTGTAACGAAATATATATATAGGTATCATAAGTATAGATATCGAGAAATGGCTTTCCACTCATTTTATCTTGCCCTTTCCAAACGGTGGCTGTGCATTGGTTTGCAGATAAAAAATACCTTGAACGTTAGGGTTGATAAATTCGCCCATAACGGCGGTGCTAAGATTGTTATCGCCACATTTACCAAGTTGGAAATCCATCCAATTGGAGCATTTCACGGCGACAAAGCCATCAGAATACACGATGGACTCGGTGAAAAACTGATGCGATCTACCGTGGCTGCAGATCTCTAAAAATACAAGGCTAGATCAATATTCTTATGCGCGTGATATTGTAAAATTTAATGCTGGCATCGTACGGGATGAAAATACAGGGCATCCAGGTTGCCTAAATGTTCCTCCGTTCGGATAAAAATCCGCGTGGCCAATAGGTCTGAGGAAGCCTAAACTACCAGCGCAAGTGTGAATAACATCCACGAAATTGGCGTCTGCAGCATCTAATCGCTCCTCTGTACCTTTAAGATAAGGCGTCTCGAATGCCGGCCCAGCCGGATCAAGTCCGGTAATTCGACCGAGCTTCTTCGACATATAATTACCGATGTGTCCGGCTACATGAGCACCCAAACTATGTCCCACAACGTGAATATCATCGAAAGATATTTGAGTTTCTGATCCGAGAAATTCGATAAATGCAGCCACGTATTCTCCCACCTGAAAACATGAATTTTGATTGTGCATTATATTTTTGCAAAAAAAGTGTCTTGTAAAAAATTAATAAGCATTTTATAAAATTAAATCGAGAATTCTCGTAACTTTGCAAAACCAATTTTTCATTTTTATTAATTTGTATACGATTTATATATCGTGTAAGAAAAAAATCCTTTCTTTTCCAGGGTAATTTGCGTTATGTTTTAAAATAAGCATTTTTTAAATTATATTCTATATTGATGTAAATTTTGCAATATTTTTTTACAAGAAAATTAGAGTTTAATTCTTTTTACTGATTCAACTATCTTCAGAATATGCATTTTACTCACCTGATGAGTAAGTTTGACGGATGTTAGATATTCTTTTGTTGAACCGGCGAACCAATCTACACAAATTACATTATAATCTCCAACGTTAAGATAATTTCGTCGAATGTCATGTAGCCAAAAAGCATTTCCGCTTTCTGCCCACCCGTGAATAATAATCTTGGTAGGCCATTCAGAATTAAATGGTGAATCTTTCAGTTGAGTAGCATCACCCACCCGTAGAAAAACAGGTTGCTCCTTATTGTCCTTGGTATAAAGTTCATAATTTATATCTTCTGTTTTAAAATCTATATCAATTATATTGCCGATCGTCGTGCGATCATTCGCAATAATCGATGTCGGATTTAAAAAGACCTCCAAGAGACCTTCTTCAGGATGGTGTTCTTGAAAATTTGGAATCGACGGTCGATTACGCAACAACTCTGCTATATTAAAAGATACATCTAAAAAGAAATGGAAAGTGATAACAATAAATGATACATTTACCTCCATTAGTGTAACTAAATATTTTTGACAAAGTCGAAATTATTTATATAAGAACTACCTTACTTAGGAACAGAAATATGAGGAACGTTGCAATAAGAGACATTGTGATATTTTTCAATGCTTTTATTAGACAGTGTTTCTTTTATATCAATTCATATTACATAAGTAAAAATATTCTTGAATCATTCAATCCATTAGATCTTATTACTAACATCGAACAATAAAATATCTAAGTTGCTTCACGAACTTCCGGTATTTGTTTATCCTAATTTAAACTGAGCACTTTATTATAGAAAAATCTAAATTATGATTTAGATTTAGTTGTATGTACTTTTCCTATATGTTCGACAATGCTTAAATATAGATAACAGGATTTTTGTAAATATTCGTAACTTTATTATCTTAAGGATAAAAATAAAGAACAAAAAATATTGATTTTGATATTGTCAGATCTTATTGCTAATTTAATTGGCATATAATTTCTCTTTGGTCTACGATGACTTTCAACGGCCTTTTTCTTTTGATTAAATAAAAAAAGCAATGCGTGCCGCAAATGTTCTTTTTCAGGCACAAAACTCGACATGATCACTAAACGATAAAACAAAGACGCTAGTTTTTGGCGGACTCAACTTGTGTGTGTTTGTAGTTAAATGTCAGACGAACAAAATGGCGTATGTATCAAATTAATACGCTGCGTACTTTTCGCTGGGGCCATCTCTTAGTTAAACCGGAAAAGACTTATGCATACACCTGGTATACCAAGCATTCCTATAATTTTTAATAGTGGGGAATGAAGCCAGAAATTGAGTTTATGTGGCGTTTAGGACCCGTGCTATTTCACTCTATCGCATTGTTCTCATCAAAATAGAAAGAGACGGGTCCTAAACGCCACATAAACTGTCGATTTCCGGTTTCAAGCTACGAACAGAATGTTTGGTCTACGTATATATGTCATTGGTTCGAATATATTATCAGTATTGAAATTCTCTCTCTATAATATAGTTTATAGATTTTCAGTATTAACAGTGTATACCAGATATTTCAAACCACCCGTACCACCCTTTTATTTTTGCAGGATAAGGTCCAATCGAAAGTGTTTAGACAAAAAGTTGTAAGGTTTTTCAAAACATCTATTTCCTGGTGCTATAAGTGTGACCTTGGGTGGTGTCGTTAAGGTCAAGTCAGGGTCACGTCGATTTTTTAAAATGGAAAACCTCATTTTTTTATTGCATATTCTTGTAGCTTATCTCGAGAGCTTTTCAAAACATTATAATTAAATTCACTTTCATTAAATACTTTTTGAGTTAGGTTTGGAAGTTACAGTATCTTCGGCATTAGCATCACACAAGGTGTCCGACCGGAGGCTAAAAACCTCTTAAATGTTGTTCAGGATCATGACCTGGATAACATTTGTCAAGATCAAGGCTATTAGTGATTGTATCTCTTATTTTCATTTTTACGTAAAAATGAATTTTTAGTGCAAAAATAAAAATAAGAGGAATAATAAGGAGGTTTTAGCTGTCGGTCGGACACCTTGCATAATGCTACTGTCGGCCGTATTGTAATTTTCGAGTCTTATAAAACTCGAAAAGTACTCAATAAAAAATAACTTTATTATAATGTTTTAGAAAGCTCTTGACATCAGCTATTAGATTCTGGAATCAAAAATAAGGTGTCCCATTTAAAAAAATCGACATGACCTTGACCTGACCTTGGTAACCCAAGATCAAACTCATAGCACCAGGAAATAGATCTTTTGAAACCCTACAACTTTTGTCTGAACACTTTTTCGATTGAAGAACTTATTCTGCGAAGATAAAAAGGTGATGCGGGTGATTTGAAACATCCGGTGTATCGAGTAGTAGCATGCATCATAGAATCTTTTAAAGTCAAAGTAACGGTGCATAACATTGTAATACATTAACAAATATAAGAATTGCAATACTAGGATGTATATTGAAGAATTCTGGATATTGCAATTTTAAACAGTAATGTAATTTTATGATTTGCTTTTTTGAAGGAATATAGTTTCTTTGCCATATCTGACAGATGTAACAACATTTAATCCTAATATAGCAGCTTCCTCACGTATAATTTCATATTCTTCTTTTGTAAAACCCTCTGAAAGATTTTGTCTTACTGCATCATTACTGTTGATAAGTCTTTCACACAAATCGCGAGCGGCTTTTCGAAATTCATTAACTTTTATTTGTTCTTCGTTGGATCTGAAGCAATTTTTCCACAAGCGTTTCTCTATTTCTAGATACTCACGCTGTTTCACATTCGTCTAAAAAATGAAATAAAAAGAATATACTGTTACAACAAAATTTTGTAAAAAAATTTTCAACTTACTATCCGAATTGCTTTTCTAATAGAGTCATCGTGCGGTTCTAATACCCAAGCTTTCTGGAACGCCTTCATTGCTTCATTGTATTCTCCAATATTCAGCAAAGCTTGTCCATAACTAGAATACACAAGAAAAAATTTTATTATAATACTAATTTAATATATTTATACATAAGCAGTTAAATCAGTAAAAACAGTACATACTGATAATAGCTTTTAGCTGTTGGTTTTGGAACTTTTCTTAAAGCTAAGCAAGCTTTAGTAGGCATGTTTTCCTTGTTATGACAAATTCCAAGATTGGTATAAGCTCGTGAGAGTAATTCACTCATTTCTTTTTCTTCTAAATCATTTTGTAACTTGATTGATTCTAAACAATCAGCAATTTTTCTATATCTATAAAAAATACATATTTAAGAGATACAACTGCATATTTATAAAAATTTATAACATCAGTTACTTACTCTCGTATCGCCTGTTTGTAGTTAAATTTTGTACAATAGTCTTTAGCAGCCACAAACATATGTTTCACAGGCTGTACCACATATCGAAATGATTGTTTCTCCTCTTCGGTAAAATTTTTATATGTTTGTGCACAACCATCGTCGATGTAATCAACTAATTGAACAACAAAGATCACTTCCTCGTTAGGTGGAATACGTGGTGGACAACCAACAGCCTTGTAAGCATAATCAGGATGTATCAAAAATATTGCTATTTCATGCTTTTGCATAGAACGTATACCAATTTCTAAACCAGGTATAATAAAACTCTGGCCTAAACGCAACGATCTTGGTTTTCCAATAGAGTAAGTAGAATCAAAAGGCTCATCTCTATATTCAAAATATCCAATATAATGGACAATCGCTTGAGCATTGTTTGGTATAATTTCTCCAACACCTCTCTGTTTAACGTACTTCATGACCTAGTAATAATTTTATATTAAACTCGTTAAAATTACATTCATGATTTCATTTAACTGTATTGACAAACTTATCGATAAAATCAAAAATAATATTATCTCTGTAAGGAAATATACAAAATAGTATAAAATTTGATTAACTTTTCCATTTGGAGTTAAGCTAGTCATCTTGGTTTTCAGCTTTGAAAAGCTCATACCACAGAGTGATACAGTTTCTTTCTCATCCTCGTCTTCATCTTCAATACTATTCATGTTTAACATATTTAACATCTCTTCATTGCTAAATTGTACATGTGGAGAATACGAAAATTCTTCATCATCCTCATTGTTATTAATATCATCCCCAATTTCAAACATAACTCCATCTTCATTTATCAAATCCCTGGAATAATACAACAAATAAGAATATAGCCTAAGACATGCATGTAAGTTTATTAATATAGTTCTTATATACCCAATCCTAAAACCATCCACCAAGGGATTTATGTTTTTCGCCATTTTTCAAGTTAAAGAATTCCGTCGAAAAATTCTTCGTCAATCAATTCAATCAATCAATTGGCTTCCACGTTTACTTCACGTGCTTCCACTCTTTCCTTTCTAAAACACGAGTGATGTGGGCTAAGAATCTTCTCTTACAGTACTTATATCTCTGCAAGTAAGTTTCTTCTTTCTTTTCGAATATATATAACACAGCTATAGGATACCTCAACTTGTTGCACGGTTTAATGGCTCAGAAATCCGATTCAAGACGAAAAACACCGACAAAAACGCGGGAGTGCATTCAGGAAATATTACTTTATTCTTGTTCACTGAATATTAAAGAAGAAAATAATATGTCGGTGAGGAGTGAAGTTTCCGAAGGCAGCCCACCATTACATAGCATTAGAAATAACGTTCGAAATTGCGTTGTTTTCGTTGTTCCTTGTTGCGGACGTTACGGATAGTGCAGAAGTCTGTTCTTTTCAGCTGAACTTCGTGCATCGTTCGAATTATACCTCCTTTTCTCTCTAAGGCCAAGGATACGTTCGGATCAGTTCGGATTTCAATAGGTTAATTTGCGTCGCACGCTCCAACACGCTCCAACATGCTCCAACATGCTCCTACCATAGCTCCTACTCACTCTATCAAGCACGTTGGAGTGAGTAGGAGCTACGGTAGGAGCATATTGGAACATGTTGGAACGTGCGACGCGACAAACCTCATATGAGACCTGTTCTTTTTGACTGAACTTTTGCAGTTCATCTTTCTTCCTCTTTTTTCCTCCTGGAGATCCTATGATCAACGCCATCATTCGTGTAACTTCGTTGTTCACTGAATGTTGAACAAGGATAACAAGGTATAGAAGGGAACACCAAGGAACACTCGGATGGAAATCCGAACATAGTCCGATGTAGAGAAAAGGAGAGAAAAGATAAAGTTATTATAGCGAATTCGATTGGACACACTCAGTGCGCACTGGTGCACATTAAAGCCGTCGTACACGAAATAACGTAAAGATATGTTTATAAATAAACATAGAGATCGATTAAATCGTGAAATACTTAATGCATTTTATTGTACTATTAGGTAAAATATGTATTTCAATAATTCGAAATATTTGCATTTCATTTTTATACTTAAATTAAATTGGTGTACAACGGCTTTAATATGCACCAGTGCGCACTAGCTCTTCCAATCGAATTCGCCATTAGGCAGAAGTTCAGCCGAAAATGACAAATTACTGAAGAGTGCGCTGAAGTTCATTTTACGCAGGCGCACTGTGGACTGAACCGGTAGAATATCCATAAATCATATTCCGCGTGTCATCGTATTCCACGGATTTCCACACCACTCACGCACTTGACGCGCTAGAATGTTGGGTGTGTCCAGAAGCGACGACCGTTCATTGAGCAAAAAAGGGATTCATCTATGTGATTAATATGTTTATTTATTATAATTCATAACGTAGAATAACTTTGGCCGGTATTCATAGTCAGTTCTTATATTCAAGACCGTCTTAAGTACGATCTTAAGAAGTCACGAACCAATCAGAAAACCGGATTAGCGTCTTAAGACACTACTTAAGACGGTCTTGAAATAAGAATCGGCTATGAATACCGGCCTTTGTCTATTATAGATAATCTTTAATATCATATTTCTTACTTTAGACATTTATTAATTTAGACATGTTTACCGGTATATATGCGTTTAAAACTTAATAATACTTGATTGTTCTTTAAAATTGTGATTTTATTGTTATCGTCAAAGTTTGATTATCAACAAAGATGATAACTGCAGAGAAAAAAAAATTGTAATTTTTCAGCAATATACAGGGTATTATAGTTTTACAAGTATACATATTTATTTATGGAGCATTTATGTAATAAAAACATCATGAATTTAATAATGTATTAGCCAAATATTTATGTTATACTAATAGCAAATTTATATCAATTGTCGGTAATGTCAGCGTTCTTCAATTACCTCCGAGCCCTTGAGGCCCTTTTTATACCGCCGAAAATTTGCCCAGGGTTGACGGTCTTTAATAGTATCTCGTCGGTGTTACTGGCTTTACGGTCTTTAGTGTGATCGGCCAATTCGTTTATTGCTTACGTCTTACTGCCTTATATTTTTATATGTGCCATGAGCTTGACTGGCCCATCCACTACCAATACTGATAATGTATAGTATACGTTACATGCACTATAAATTTCCAGCATTGGTAGTGAGTAATAAGGTCGGAATCAGACTATACATTGATTATGTTTACACAGCTCGATTTACATCAAAGTTATAACATTGATGTTATGAAACTGGCCAATCATAGCGGTTCCTCCGAAGAATGGAATGACTGTGCTGTGATTGGCCAGTTTCCTAACATTGATATTATAACTTTGGCGTAAATCGATCCGTGTAAACGTAGTCATTAAAGACTGAGATTGAAGATTGAAGATTGAAATGTGACCAATGAGGACAAAGGAACTTTAGCTCCTATTTATATGTTTTGATTGGTCAAATTTCACCCACACATCTCACATGGATATCTCATGGATGTCGTCTAAAACGTCCGTAGGACCTCACACATGCGGACACTTGTACATCCTCAGGATATCCATTGGATAACTGAGACCATCCACGGATATCACAAGATTATCGCGATATCCCAAAATGACGTCCGTTGGACATTCCTAGGATAAAGTGTGTTGTGTGGGTCAATCTTTCAATTTTCAATCTCAAGGTGCTTTTTCATGCTGACGCTTGACGCTCATTTTTAAAATAGATCACGTGATCAAAATTGACGCTTGATATTCGTGATTAATTCTCATCACGTGATCTGTTTTGATGCTAAAAATGAGCGTCAAATGTCAGCATGTAAATGCACCTTCAATCTTTAATGCGTAATCTGTTTCCGACCTGTTTTACCAAAGCAAAACAAGCTAAATTAATAGGGTCTGTTTAAATGTCAATGGCTACGTTTACACCGTGCATTTAGGCCGCGGCCTAAATGTCTGTTATACTACTATTATTGACAGTGGCGATGTTCCAAAATTTACGTTGCACGTACTGAGTCGAAAAGCTATAGTGCACATAACCTAAGTTATAGATTTTCAATACTAGCAATAAATTTTCAAATATAGCCAGTATTGACAAAGCATTCTTGAATTGAGCGTGCAAAAATGTTTTCATTATAATCATAATTTTTTTTATTAATTTTCTTGATTAATTCATGATTATAACATCATTTTATATTTATCGATAATTATAATCTTATAATGTTATAATTTTTTATATTTTTATTAACGATTAAATATGTTTTTCTTTTGAAATAACAATCAACTCGAAAATATACAATAGATAAATACTTAAGATGAATAGAGGTATAATTGCAGCATATTGTTCATTTAAATAATTTGCTTCTTTTAATCGCCCGTGATGTCCTCATCGAGTTTCTGATTAATTTATCAAAGAATTATCGATTAGCAAGCAATACGGATACGTAACCAGCCGATGTCTTTATTAACTGGAAAAGAAAGTAAATGTACCATGTTAGTGAACGTGACCCAAAATTATTGAAAAAAGGGACAAAAATGTTAGATATTAAGTTTTTAATGTAGGTACGACTCTAAATAAGTTTGACCAAATTATTAAATTTTGATAAACAACGAATTTATTTAGACGATAGTGCGAATGCGTGATTAAATAATTATATAAACCAACATGAATATATGGCCGGTTTTATGAAGGTGGATTTAGATTAAATTTCTATTGACTTCTTAATCGATAATTAATTTAATCATTAATGTTTGCAGCAAAATTTCTGACTATAATTCGTAGTTATAATTTGTCGCTAATCTTTAATCTCTTTTCTTACATCAAACAAGAGAAAATTGATAATTTAATTTTATATTAATAAAACACTGCCGAGATTAGATTCGATAAGTTAATTATCAATTAAATTAACATTTATACGAGCATGTATAAGACGAATTTACAAACATCTTACACTGCAAAACATGGATAATGTCATGGGAAAGATCCTGCCCGCGGTAATATACAGAGGTCTTTCGGCGCGAATCATTATGAGCATCAGGTTTTTGGCTTCATTCGGCGTCCTCAAGTACCACGTGTAGTTATACACCGCATAAAATATTCCTTCACCCTGTAAATATTGTTATAAACTCTGTATTAATCCCATCACTTATAAGTAACATAAATGACGAATTCAAAAGCGACTTTTGCGACCCAGATAGCACGACTAATCCATTTAAATTCGAGTATTTACCTTCGTAAGTTCTTTATTGGCATAATCTGTTTGAAATAAATAAAAGAATTCCTTTCCGATCAATATATAAAGGATTCTACAAAAGTATATCTTTTAACTTTTTATAACTCTCTATTAGAACATATTATTTAAAAATTATTTCGATTGCGAATTCATATGGACAAAAAAAGATTACCTCTTTTAAATCTAAAAAAGAGCTTTTCACAATTGGAAATTTAAAAATCGAATCTTTTGAGACCCTCTGGAATACTTTTAAGATAAAAATGAGACGGAACAGGAATTCATTTCGTAAGTCGAGAATAAAAAAAGATTTTTTTTTACCTTCCGTGCTATCTAAGACGACAGGTTGTCTAGAAATTGTTTCAATTTGCAACTTTGTAATTTTATTTATTGTACTGGCTACTTGTACTAACGATAAGCACTTACTTTGGCTATAAGAATTTCCCCGACTACGCAGTACAGACACATGTGAGCGAATGTATTGATAAGAATCGAAACGAGCCAACATATTCGCATAATGGAAACACCTTCACCACTTCCGTCAATAATCTAGACACGTTAATATATTTTCTATCGACGTTTTTATTCGAGAAACTCATTTTAATATCTTAGTTTCTTTTCCTTTGGGATGTATGATTATGTATGATTTGCACGGGGAATTAGTGAGAAGAATAAAGATCGCGATTAAAGATCTTTTCATTACTATTCCTGCGCTTCCATCATACCAAAAAACATGAATATGTTAAATAAAGGACTCTCAATATATTTAAAAATTATAAGAAAATCCTACAGGAAAAGTAAGAATCAAGGGTAGTCAGTGGAACGCAAATTAAATCAGTTAAATTATGTTTGTCTCTTATTTGTTCTGTTATACGATTTTCTTTTAATTTTCGGGAAACATAAGAACTTTAAAAAGGGATAACTCTGTTCTCTTATTCGCCAACTTACATTAACTATCAGAAATCCTTGTAGGCAAAATAACGTAGCGAAAAACACTAATAGTGCCAGAAGCATCAAGTTGAATGTGTTGTCGATAACATCAACAGATCTATGATTTAAGATATCGTATACTGTAACATCGGATAATTCCTATCAAAAATGAAAAGTCTCGGAGAATATATACCTTTACTTTTCCAGGGAGAAATAAAAATCGGATCGATGTATTAATTAGACGTAATCGACGTATGTCAATCCTATTTTTGTTTTTCTCTGGATTGTAAACGATGTATTCGTTCGACATATAAGAAGCTAACGCCATGTAAAAATATTGTATGGGCTTATCACAAATTTATCCAGTTCAGTAATTATTATCGCATTATAAATATTATTGTATTATAGGTAATATACAGTCCCATTTTAATGTCCCATCCCAAATAACTTTTTTATGTTTGATCTTAGAAAAAAATATTTCAGACGAAAGTTGTATGGCTTTGAGGGGGACATAAGATGATGTCATTAGTTTGATCTTGAATAGTTGCTTGAAGGTCACGTGAAGGTTATCTTCAATTTTTTAAACGGAACTCCCTACTTTTTATTGCACATTCTTGTAGATCATCTCGAGAGCTTTCCAAA